GTGGGTCAGAAGCTGTGGGAGTGGATCAGAAGGTGTGGGGTGGGTCACAAGCTGTGGGGGGGTCAGAAGCTGTGGGGGTGGGTTAGAAGGTGTGGGGGTGGGTCAGAAGGTGTGGGGGTAAGTCAGAATGTGTGTGGGTGGATCAGAAGCTGTTGGGGTGGGTCAGAAGCTGTGTGGGTGGATCAGAAGCTGTTGGGGTGGGTCAGAAGCTGTGGGGATGGGTCAGAAGCTGTAGGGGGGGTCAGAAGCTGTAGGGGGGGTCAGAAGCTGTAGGGGTGGGTCAGAAGCTGTGGGGGTGGGTCAGAAGCTGTGGGGGTAGGTCAGAAGGTGGGGGGTGGGTCACAGGTGAAAAGAGATTTGAGAGGACTTAAGAAAAGACTGAGGGGATGAATATTATCAAAATACGTTGTAGAAAATTTTGAAATAATTAAAATGTTTTTTAAAATTATTTTCACATACTAACACGATCTGTTATTAGTAGTGCAGAATACAAGTAAGCTTATACATTAAGCCTCACAGGAAAGACATATTAGGCTCAAGGACTCCTGAAGCAAACATTTTTTGCTTGAACACATTTCATTTTTAAGGATTTCGTTATTTTGGTTTTTTGTTGTTGTTGTTGTTTTGCCTTCTGTATTCTTTCCTGGTTATGATATTATGTATCATTTAAAAACAAATTCCAGTGCCAGCTGGTGACTTACCTATGCCCATTTTTAAGCTACCTATCTTCTTCACCCATGTTTGGTCCTTTCACATTCTGCTGTCAGATCTTTACTGTCCAGTTTTCCACAGGCTCATCCTAGGACTGTGTTTGTGCTTTTCCTTTCCTTCCATGTTCTTACCCTTGCTGGCCACATCTTCCTGATGTCTTACTAATGCACAGTGTCCTTGTCTCTTCCCCAGTGCTCCCTTGTGATACTTAAATCGTGTAGCCACATGAAGAGGACATAGCACTCAAATATTGGATCAAAACTTATTCTAGATATGTCTGTGAAGTTATTTCTTTAGATGCCAGTAATATTTGTATCATTAGATGTATGATAAAGCAGATCATCCTCTATTACATGGGTAGTCAGTGCCCAAACTTATTAAGTATTTATAGACAAAGACTTGCTGTCCCAGAAGAGAAGGAGACTTGGTCAGCTGACTACTTTTAAACTCAAACTGGAAATCTTCTCTGAGCCACTATTTAGCCATATAACTTGGAGAGGTTGGACTTAATAAATCTTCCAATTTCCATGAGAAATCTTAAAATCAGTCCCTTAATGTCCTTGATTACTGTAGGCTTTCCATGTCTGTGTGTTGTGTCTGCATGGATTTAACCAAATTCAGTTTTATAATACTTAGGGGAAAATATAAGACAATTAATTGTGTCTATAAGGAATTTTTACACACTCTTTATGTTCCAAATACTCTTCAAGCAACTATTTACATTGTATTTTCATTGTGAAAGACATTATAAGAAATTTAAAGATGGTTTAAACATGCACGGAAGAATATGTATAGGTCATATGTAAATACTGCATCAATTTATATAAGAGACTTAAACATATATAGATTTTGATACCAAGCTGAATCAGCGAACCAATTCTCCCTGGATGCTGAGGGATAACTATACTCCACCCTTTGGTCTAGTTTTCTGAAGAACCATTGCATATCCTGATCTGGCTTAGTATGATCCTCCGCTCTGAACTCAAAACTTCAGAGCTGAAAAGTTTATCATTTCAGGCTGGTGCTGTGAATGAGTTTCCCTTATTTAACAACTTCAGGTCTTTGGATAGCCCTGACAACTTGTTCATCACAAATAATAGTCAGAAACATCATTAGGCTTGGCAATTGGTCTGCACTCTCAATCAAGGGCAAGGAGCAATATACATAAATAACCTGTTCATTGCATGTGCCCCCATGAATTCATGTCTCATTGCATGATGTTTATGAAACAAGTAGCAGGACCTTCTAAAAAGCCTAGAATATTCATTTCTCTTCACAAATAGCAAAATTATAGACAACATAATGATATAGACACCTCCCACCTGTTCCTTCCTCCATCTGTACTTGTGGGCAACTTGCAGATTAAATTTTATACATGTTATCATAAGCAGTAGTCTGGCTATTATTACTCCAGGTAGCTACCCACATTTAAATGAAGTGAAACTGATGGTTACTCATGACCTCTTTTCTGTTTTGTCTCCATTAATGTGGTCTCATATCTTTCTGATTTTTCTACTTGAGTGTTTTAAGAGGGGCAAATTTTCAAATGTTCAGAGTTAATGAACTCCAGGCTATCAAATATTTTTTAAAAAACTGAGGAAAAAGCCTAGAATATATTGAATTTACTGATTTTTATAGCATTATTTAGCAAATAGTTTAACTAACATGTTTGTATATATATATATATATATACATACATTTATATATACACATATATATACATACACACACACACACACACACACACGTGTGTGTGTGTGTGTGTGTGTGTGTGTGTGTGTGTGTGAAGTGATTTTACAAAGTTGTGAAAGAAATCTCAGTCATCACAACCTGTTGGTAGGCCTTCTCCATCATCTACACACCCTCAAAATTCCTCATGTCCATTTGCAGGCCACGTGGCTACTCCTAACCCTGAATATTAAAAACACCATCTTTTTTATTTCTATGCAGATTTCCCCTGTCTACTCATTTCCTATAAACGAAATTGCACAAGTAACCTTTTGCATGTGGCTTTTCCCATTTAGTATAATGATTTTTAGGTTCATCCAGTTAGTGTCTTGTGTTGGTGACTCCTTTTTTATGGTTAATGTTCCAAACTGTGGATACATAGCTTCTACATTTCCAAGGAGACTTTTCTGTGCATTTTCCATTTTTAAGCTGCTATGGATATTGAACTCTAAACCAGTGTCTTAACTGTGCATATCTTCTGTAGGTTCCTTGCAATAGTATCTCTGAGTCACATAGCAAATTTGTTTGTATTTTTCAAAATGTCAATGCATTGTACCAAATGGCTATAACATTTTACATTTCAGCAACAGATGTGGATGCTCCATGTCTTTCCGACTGAACCCTTATTATTTTTTGTCTGAGTATAGTCACCTAAGTGGATTTAAAGGAATGTTGAGTTAAATTTTAAAATTTGCATTCTTCTAATGATGAGTGTGGCTTATCATCTTCCTATGTGCTTACTGACCATGGCCTTATTTTCAGTTAAATGCTTATTCAAGTCTTTTTCTTATTTTTAAATTGGATAATGTGTCTTCATATTTTGAAGGATTTTTAATTCAAAGATGTGATTTCCAATGATTCTCATCCAATCTATGCTTACTTTATATTTTAATAGTATTTTTTGAAATGGAAAATTTCAAATTTTAATTGGTGAGTTTTAAATTTGTTTAATGTGTTTCTGAAATATTAAGAACTCTTCATGGAACTGAAGGTCATAAAAATGGTTTGTATGTTTGATGCACAGGCTTGTACTTTCTCCTCTTACACTTAGGTACATTATCTACTGTGAGTTAATTACTGCATACGGTGTGCAGAAAGGTTTTAATTTATAGTCTTGGATATCAAATTGACTATCCTTTCCCCATTGATTCCCTTGGCACATTTGTACAAGATCAATTGACCATAAACATGAGGGTTTATTTCTGGACTCGATTCTGTTTCGTTGATCTCTGTCTATCCCTTGCCAGCACCATCTGTGATGACCGCAGCTTATAAAGTTTTGAAATTGGAACATTTATTTCCTATGAGTTTGACTCCAAAATCATTTTCACTCTTCTAAAAACTTTGCATTTCCACATGTATTTTAGAGTCAGCTTAATTTTTTTTAAATCAAATGCATCCATTTGGTTTTCATTAATAATTGCAGTTATCTTTAGTTCAGTTTGAGAAACTACCATATTAATGACACTGAGTTTTCCAGTCCATGGACATGTTCTATCACTGCATTTGTTTAATTTATTATGGTCTTCTTTAATTAGTATAAAACCTATTTGAGGACTTAATACTTCAAATTTAAATTTTTGTAGATTCTATTTCCCAGTACTTTGCTCTTCTCAGTGTTCTTTTAAAAAGAATGTTAGATTTTTTTAATTTTTGTGATTATAATATAATTACATTTCCTTTTCCTCCTCCAAACCATATCATATGTCCATCCTACCTCTCATTCAAATTCATGGCTTCTTTTTCATTGTTATTATATGTATATATGTATATACAAATATATTCCCAAGTATAACTTGCTTAGTGTTTATAATGTTACTCATATGTCTGTCTTTAGGCCTGACTATTTGATAATGGATAATCAGTTGGTGTGCTCCCCCTTTGAAAAGACTATTTCTCCCTTTCTCAGAAATCCATAGTTGCCTTCAGTTCTTTGTGTGGGATTGAGTAATTTGTGGTCTTTCTCCCATTTTCAGATTATCCATTGCCTGTGGAGATGCAATTCATTTCTTCCTCTTTATTTAATTGACTTTGGATACTATAAAACCTTGTTCAAAACAAATACGCTTATTTGTATTACTAGGTATTAAATACATATTTATTTATTCAGTGTATCTGTGTGTGCACACACATGTGCAGTTATGCATTCCAACATCTGAATATGAATTCACAGAACACTTTCAGGGAGTGGTCCTCCTCATCTTGTTCTTGAGCAGAGGCTCTCTTGTTTTTGTTCCACTGTGCTGCTTTTCAGGCCCCTGTGGGTTCTCCTGTCTCCCTCACACACACACATAGAAATACTGCACACAGCCAGCAGGAGACCTACCCCATCTCATAATTTGACATGAGTTCTGAGGACCAAACTCAAGTTGTCAAGATTATACAGGGTGTGTTCTTATCCACTGAAGCATCCCACAACTCCTCAGTACATATTCTGAAAATTTGTTTGGCACGGATTTTGTTGTTTTTGATACACAGGATCAAGTCACTTGACAAGATATTTACTTTTTCCTTTCCAACTTGATTGAATACACTTTGTTTCTTTTGCTGACCTTACACAGATGAGAACACTGCATGTAATCTAACAAGAGTCGAGAACAGCCATCTTGCCTTGCCGTTTGTCTCAGGAGAGCACTGTGTCATCCACCAGTGAGTATCATCTTAGACACAGAGTTTCCAAGCTCCCTCCACACTGAGAACTTCAATCAAGATGAGGACTCACTTGCAAAAAGCTTTTCTCCATCTACTGAGTTGATTGAATGTTTTCTGTCTTCTCTTCTACAGAACTGACCCACAAAATGATGATGAATCAGCCATGTATCATAGAGGTGATTTTTTTGGTCTGGTCACAGTTACCATTGATTTCTTTCATTATTTTACTCTTTCCTATTTTTTTTATTTTCACACTAATTAATTCCTTACTTCTATCTGCTTTTGAATCATTTCTGTCCTGAATTCTAAGGCACAAATTAAGGTTATTGTTTTTGTATTTTATCACTTTATAACATAAATATTATAATTGTGTGATGGTGGCAGTGAAATAATCTTAGTCTAAAATAATATAAATTTGTTTTCATCCAAGATTAAACCTTTTTTTCAATCTGTCCTTGAATTAAAAACATGATGTATATTTTGATTAATGTGCTTTTGATAGAGTATTGAAACTGTTTATCCTTTCTTTGTATGACATAAATTTCTGGACTTAACAATGGCATTTTGGTGTAATATAATTTCGTCAGAAAGTTAGAAAAAAAGTTTCCTTGAAGGTGGCAATGACTTTTAATTATACTTCCTTGAACATAGCTATCATGTGGCTACTTTACGGTACAAGGGAAACTAGGCTGTAAACCTAATTGGCTTCGGTGTGTTCCTTACTATGAACTCTGTCAAGTGGGAAGCTTGTATTTCATGGTTTTAGAGTGAAAGCCATGGTAATGAAGCCTCTAAAATGTGCCTTCCTGAAGCCTTACCTACAAGAGTCTTCATTTTAACACCGTTAACTTTTTGCTCCAGGGGCTACTAAACATTAATTTTTCTGGGGCTTAAGGTCATATATGCAGAGGAGAGAGGGAGAATGCTAATTAACTGTGAACTGTGCATTCCGTGGTTGAAATGCATGGGATTTGCAGTCTTGGCCTTGGCCTAGCACTGTGTCAGTGGTTAGCCCCTGAGCTTCTCTGAGTCTTCCAAGTCCTCATTGCATCGTCTGTGCATAGTGTACACTCTTTCTCCTAGACTGTAGAAGACTAAGTGACTGTGGAGCACTTTGCCCAGAATCAGCCTCCAGCTCCTGGTCACCAAATGTTGGGTTCCTCTGCTCAGAGGCCATTTCTAGAAAACCCACTCCAGCGTGAAATGTAATGTTACCCTCCCCACAATATTGTTTCTGTTGTTATAAGATCACAAAGAAAAGAACTTTAATTTTGTTTCTTTTATTTTGTGGTGCTAGGGTTCCAACTCAAGACCTCAGAGAGGCTAGGAAGAAATGATAGATTCTGTGCTTTCAACTAAGAGTAGGTACATGCCTAACCCACATCACAGCCTCAGATTTTGTCCTTCTTGGACTGAGTCAGGAATCAAAAACCATCACTTCTAAATGAGCAATACTGTTACATGAGCTGGAGGATGGTAGGGGATTATTTACTGCTTAGGGTGTGATAGGAAGTAAGAATAAAAATTAGCTGATTAAAATATATCCATAAAACATATTGGAAGGATTATTTACTATATATTTGTATATCATACATGCAGAGTATGTATTTCTCATTGTATTCAAATATAAATTTCTGATGTTAGAAAATGTCAGTTTGCTCATAGATAATTGTGAAGGAAATGAAAAATAAATGAGATTCCATGAATATACCAACTATCTGCTAGAAAAAGTCAATAAATATGAACACACACACACACACACACACACACACACACATATATATATATGTATACATATGTGCATAATATAATTTTGCTTTTGCCCAGTCAAATGTAAATGATAAAATTAGTTCCAAAAAATGACTATTAGTGATAATGCTTTTTGTGTCTCTGTTAAGTAATCATTTATGATATCTACAGAGGATTACAAAACAATTTCTATAGTGAGTTAAGGCAAAGGTCCCACCCTTTCTGTGCCATCATTCTGAAGTCGCACATGTAGGTTTTATATTAGCTTTACTACATCTCACACTTTGTCCAAGGTTGAGAAATAAATGAAACCTGTGTCACAGTGTCATCTGAAAGACACTGTAAGGAGGGGTAGCTTTTCTGAGAAGCCAGGATTAGAAACAAAGCAACCTGGAACAGCTAAACATGAAGCAATCAGAAGCATCTTTTGTTTTGATTACAGCAATTACCATAGCTCTTGCCAATTTTTCTATCCACTGCTTACTTATTATCTCATTATTTCTCCAGAGAAGCTAAGGTTGAATGTATCATTGCTGACAACAGAGTCAGTGTGAAGACATTTGTTCTTCTCATGGGGTAGGAGTGGAGGGGGTAGGTACATGGTGCTATGGTGACTGTCTGTTGACTGGGATGACAGGGATGGTGTGTGTTTATAACTGGTCCCTTGAAATTAGGTCACTGTTGGTGCTCTGCATTGTTTTCATTTTCCAGAATTCATTGCTGAAAATTGCTGGCCACCTTTCTACTGTGTCCCCTTCCTTATAATAGCTCAACTATAACTTCTGTGTTTCCTTTGCCTGAAACTGAGCCAAGGATTGGTACCTAATAAATCCTGCACCTCTGACTGGTGGTGTACAGGCACATGGCAACTTCAGGAAAACTAGTCAAAACCCATGAATGGTAAAAATACACAGACCTTTCAGCAAAACTCATTACATGAAAAAAAAATCTTCAGTAAGACACATAACGATCATATTGTTATGTGTCCATAGCACACTGAAGTTATTCTACTGTATAGGAATGCGAAGGTGTAATACTCTCTCAGACAATTTGAGTAGAGGATTGGCAGAAGTCCAATTAATTCTTAGGTGAAATTTTCGTACTTAACACATAGAGGCTATCAAGTAAATCAAAAGCAACTGAAACTGAAGTTATGGAATGGCATAGCAGAAATGGAAATGATAGGAAAGGCAAAGGTAAATGATGTCTGTGTAGGAAATGGCTCTACACAGCAAGTGTAGGGAGCACTGGGCAGTGAACGTCTTGTAATTTCTCCTCAGTAAACCTCACAGTTTGTTCAGTAATTACTTTTTCTACCTGGAGTTGATATATACCTGCATTTTTGTAGCTCATTGAGTTTATTTAAGAAGAGTATTTTGAGGGTTTTTTTCCCTCTCTTGAAGGATTTTTTTAAAAAACTGTACCTATCATCATTGCCAAAAGAAGCATTCACTGTTCAATTCTTCATCATGCCTAAGTGTGTATGTGCATATGTGCGTGCGTGCGTGCGTGCATGTGTGTGTGTGTGTGTGTGTTTGTGTGTGTGAATATGTGTATGTGTACATTTGTGACTATGTGGAGAAACATGTGTGTCTGTCTATGTGAAGAAACAACTCTCTTTCAGTCTTCCCAAACTGCATTCCTTATATAGGTGAACACTATTTCCACTAGATTCTTACAAAGTAAGAGTTCCTTTAAAATACCTCGGCAGGTGGAGCTGGGTCACAGGCAGCTTCCATTTTATAGTTCAGGAGCAGAGTTAGTGGGCATCATATTGGAGGAGCAAGAGGGGATGATCTGTGTTTGGTCCCTGGAGAGGTAGTACTGCCCTGCTCCACAGCTGAGTCAGGCTTTGGTTGGGGTACAGTTAGGTCTCTGGTAGCAAAGCTAATACTTGGAATGTGGGTGGTTGTGGCTAGCCTCCATTCCAGGGGACAGACAGGGTTGACTCCAGAGCTGATGGTAAACTGCGTGGAGAGGAGTTGACAGGAAGAAGGGGCCCCTGCCAAGTCTAATAGATCCTCAGTGGCAGGCCTGCACTGGGAAATGGGTCTAGATTGTCACAGTCATTTTCAATGGTCACTTATTTCCTATTTCTACAAATGTTTAACAAATACTGCTTTTAGAGTGGTCCAGACATTCCTTGAACTTAATACACAAAGAAACAATATTCCATTAAAGTTTTTGTTTCCAGGGCTCATATGGCTTTTTGTGAATTTCACCTTGGTCATAGTTGTTTTTTTGTTTTGAATAATAGTTTTTATTTATTCATTGAGAGTTTCAGACATATATATCTACCTTGGTGATATCCATAACCCACTCAGTTCCTCCCCAGCATATCCTTCTCCTCTACATGTATCATTTTTTCATGGTGTCATTAACAAAAACAGAATACATCTCTGCCTTGGTGAGCTAAGGGTCAGGGGAGGCAGAGAATAAGAGGAAAAACACTTAATATGTTAGTATTAAGAAAAATATATATAAAGTAGCAGAAAATGTACTCTGCTATGCAAGTTTTTTTTTTAGAAAAATTTATTTAAATTACTTTGGAGAAAATTTCATTTCCATAAATCACCACTATATCACAATATGTTTTGGTGATTTGATCAGAACATAAATGCCCATGGACAGGCCCTGGAGAAGAGATTGAAAATTATAATTTTATTATTAACCTATGCAGTATTAGCATTAGTTAATTTTTAAATTGTACCTATTTTCAAAATTACAGACTTCAGCATTATTGTGTGTTCATTAAGAAAATTATTTTACAGAGACCATTTAGTGCATGAATAGACACATTTGAGATCATTGAACACAATATAATAGAAGCAGAGGCTGTAGCTATGTGACCACACAGCCGGTGAGCCACCCTCTCTGTGCAGGCATGGGACGCACTGGTGTTTCCTTTTTACTGCTTCAGTGTTGAAAGACACTCAGAGCATCATGTGGGTGTGAATCTTCAAGGCAGTAATGGAATAACTCAATTAAACAGGACACAATGTGTGGATTTTGAAGTACAATATGCAAATTAGCTAACAGATTATCTTGCTACAGAAACATTTTTTTTGCAGTTAAATATAATTTTATGATTCTTGCCAGTTGAGAAGTCTTCCTGCCCATTCATTTCAAAAAGTTTTTCTTGACTGAATTTCATGTGCCAAGAAGTACTCCTTTTACTTCCTCAAAAGTAAGACACTGGCCTGGGGAGGTAGCTCTGTCAGATGAAGCTTGAGTTTTACTCTCAGATCCCACACAGAAAAGAAGAAAATGGATGTCGTGGTGGGGTTGTGGTCTCGGGAGTGTGGAGGAAGAGACAAGTGGGTCTCTGAAGCTTCCGGCCGGAGAGCATAACCTATTTGACAAACCCTAGGCGAGCGGGAGACTGTATTAAAAAAAATGGCAGACAATATCTAAGAAATGATATCCACTGTTGTCCTCCTCTGGCTTACACCGCACACATGCACACACACACACACACACACACACACACACACACACACACACACACACACACCCCTGCACACACACGTACTCCCACATACACAAACATGCACATTTAACACAAAATATGATAGCATTTTTCTCGTCAAATAATTTATGCTTACTAAGTGAAATGGATATAAATATGTTATTATATAGTTAGTATCATTTTAATAAGCTCTCCTTGCCATTTAGTTTCATTTTCTTTCTTGCTTAATTTACCTTTTCATTTTAATTTTATTGTTTGTAAGTACTTTCCATCACAATGCAGGGAAGAGTTTGAGAGGAATTTCTCACATTATACAGTGAACATTTAAGAAAAAACACTTTTTTTCTTTTGTTTTTCACTTTTAAGGGGAGACAGCATCTCATTGTCCCCATGTATGCACACAGGCAGACCTCTGAAGAAGGGTATCCGACACCTCAACCCTTGTACAGGATCTAGTCACCTACTTCTCTTTGGGCCACAGTTCTACCTCTACCTCACAGTGGTAAATTGTTTTATTTCCTTTTTTCAAGAAGAACACAGGTCTCATAGCAACCTGCTTTGCCTGCTCTAACACAACAAGAGCACACTGCAGTTTTGTCAGAGAAGAAAAGACTCCTGCTTCATACATCAGTCATTTCATTTCCTTCTTTATATAGCATTTCATCTCTTGATCACAGAAATAAGCCCTAAAAGCATCTCTTGTCTTTCAGGTGATCTTCTTAACAGGCTTCTGTCACCCGTGTCTGAGCCTTTAATGGTTATAAACATTTCAACAAAGACTTTGACAGAGCAGTGGACATATAGCTTTCAGGAGTTGGAGAATAACCTAGAAACATTGTTGAAACACCAAATCCAGGGTCTCATTTTAGAGATTTTGATTACACAATGTAGTAGGAGCAGGGCAATAGATTGGATTTTTAATCTTCAAGGTCATGCTTGTCATTTAGGAGCACTTTATTAGAGTGATTAACATATTATAAGCTAATATTAAGTGGAGACAGAGAAGAAGTGATTAGTGTAAACCAG